TTTAGGCACGCCACGATACAGATATATTTGGGATGGAGGCGCCTGGCTCGGCTGGAGTGACACCCGCAGCTGCGGCACTGCTCAGCGCAGGGAGCATCCTCATCCTCCTGTCCTGCTCGCTGCTGCCCGGGGCACCGATGCTGTGAAAAAACCACCTTGCCAAGCTGTCCCCCTGCCGCAGCCCACTGGGGAGCTAAAACCATGCAGAAAAAATATCTACAAGTCATCAGCTCCTGCTGATGCATTCGTGGGTGAGCAGCCAGCAGCCTCACCCCTCCAGCAGCTCCGGCTCTGCCAGCAGTGCTCCGCCTCCCCAAAATAACTGTCCCAGGGGAGACCACAGCTAATCCCCCAGCTCAGTCACTGCACCGATGAATCTGGACGTGGAATCAAAATAGCCAAGCTGATCTTTGGGATAACTGGTCACACACAGCTGAGCTGCTGGTCAAAGCAGCTCGGCCACCACCACGAAGCAGAGGGACCGCAGCACAGCTCCATCTTTAAATAATGGGGTGGCTGCAAGCCCTGGAAAACAAAACACCAGGGCGCTTGGTCTAAATTGCTCTCAGGCCAGGGATCCATGGGGCAGCGCCATGGAGGGGCTGGAGACACCAGCTTGCAGCACACAAGCAGGAGACACCAGCTTGCAGCACACAAGCGGGTAGGTGGGCAGCTGACCCAGCAGGCACCGGCACGCATGGCTCCAGCAGGAGCATCCGAGCCCACACTGGATCGCTTGTCCTTTGGGGAGGAAGAGAGGGAAAGAAACCAGATGACCCAAGGGAAAACACCTCTCAGAGCAGTCCTTCTCCCTTCCCAGGAGACAGTGTTCACGGCCAACTTCTGGAACTAACGATTTTATTAAAAACAACCTGGCATCCCATTCCGGAAGCGTGTAACAGATCACACAAGTTCCCTTGCCACACAATTTTGCGTATCAAAAAATGTCAAGTTTCCCCAAATAAGCATGGCTAGGAAAGCCACCGTAGCTCAACGGTGTTGGACTAACCTTCTCAGAGAGTTGGTGCTTGTTCACATGGTCCAAGCCCAACCTCAGCAAACACTCCTGGCCCAGACAGACCCCTCTGTTGCATCTGAATGCAGCAGCACCAGCGGTGCAAGAGCTTGGTTAATACATCTGAGGGTAAGATGGGAGGATAATCGGCAGCCTATAAATAGGACTAATAAACCACAATTACAAACTCTGCTGAGACCATTTATCCAGATGTTCCCATCGTGTCATTCTCAATTGAGCAGGAAATGATGGGCCTAATGGGCATTTCTCCGCCAAATGCCGCATACAAGAAATCACAGCTCCAAAACCGATGCTGCTGCTGGTACAGGACCTGTAGAGGCAAAAACTTCAAATATTTCTCATTCTTGTTTTGGACAGGTTTCAAGCATCAAAATTCCTCAGTTTGGGGAAAGATATGGAGAGGAGACGAGGCTCTAGGCAGATGTTTTATTTCCATTTCTTTGTCTCATGCCTGGTGGATGTCAAGTCCTTCCCCCTAAAGCTGGAGGGGCGACCAGCCAGCCTATGCTAACAGTACTTTTTCTCCTAAAAGGGGATGGTGAGTCCTACGCACACCCAGGGATTGGGGTGTCCAGCGAGGTCGAGGTGATCACCTGAAACCCATATCCTTGCAGAGCAGCTTATTTAGAGCAGTAGCTGAGCTATTTCTACCTGATTTTCCCAGTGTCCTGAGGGCACAGGAGGATCAGAGGTATGTCGTCTCTTAAATAACTTGAGCCTTGTGTTTGCACGGCGCAAATGGACACACGCAATCAAACTGAACACTGCAAGTTTATCAACATTTCCTCCAAGTGCCTCAAGGATAACTAGTTTAGTAGATACTATTTAGAAGAAAAACAGGATGTTGGAGGTAAAGAACAAGCTCCTCTGTAATAGCTTCAACAAAGGTCTGGAGGAGGAGATGGATTGCATCTCATCAAGCTTGCAGATAGGTAGGACCAAACCAGGGCCAAAAGCAAAGTCCTGCCCCTGGGACACACTCAGCCCCTGCCCGGGGACAGCCCAGGCTGGGGACAGCTCTGCTGGGATGGCCCCAGGGGTGGGAGCTCATCCCCAGCGCAGCCGGGAGACCCAAGGGAGGTGGTTATCCCCTTCTCCTGCCACTCACCACACCTCGCCCACATCTGGATGCTGCCTCCAAAGGTGTCAACAGAGGGAGACGGGTCCTGTGGAGACCCCCACAGCGGCCGGGGGCTGGAGCAACAGCAGCAGCCCTGGATATTTTTGAGGACCAGATGAGGTTTCTCAGAACCAGAAAACCTCCCACAGTCTTTCCGCTCTCTTTTCTTCCCCTCTATTATGTCACCAATAAAGGGGAAGGAAAACCCAAGCTGTCCTTTTCGAAAGACATGTATATATACGTATATATACATGTATATATGTATGTTTACATACACGCATATATATAGATTTCAACTTGGCACAGAAAAAAGGGGCATGAAGCCAGAAATCAACCAAAATCTTACAAAACCTCTAATTTTTGTGCCGAACACTCATGGCATATGGCAACATCTGCTCACCATTTCCAACTGACCTCAATCCCCGCCTTGTGTCGCAAGAGCTCATTTTTGTCCGCCGCTTTGTTTTCCTGGAGAAAGGCCACAGCACAACAACGCTGGACAATGCAGAAAGCCAGCTCAGAGTGGAGAATGGGTATTTATTTTCTCTTTTTAGGCCCTCATGCCAATACATGGACACCTCTGACCTGTCTTTGCAACTTTAATCAAAGTCATCTCACTAGGAGAATGATTTACACCATGGCGGTACTGAAAAATTCAGCTCTGCTGATTATAAATAGGAAAGAGCTAAACCTAAAGAAAGCGTTGTTCAGGTGGTTTGCAATTAAAAAAAAAAAAAAAAAGAAAAACAGAAGAAATGCCCAAAAAGCCCCATGGAGCAGCAGGTTCCTGATATGCAATGCCCATACTCTCCCAGATGCTGCTGCATTAAGTAGGGTTCCCTTATCACCCTCATTATCCCTCCGAAGGATGCCGCCGAGCGCTCCACCAGGCAAGCAGACCACATCTCTAGTTCTCCTAAGTCATAAATCACCGCTAATTCTCTGACACTGATTGCAAACAGGAGGCTTAGCAGAAGACTGCCATGCTGTACCATGATGGCCTCTCCCTCTAGTTGCTAAGAAAAACCAAGATGCAACTTTTGGAAGTAGCGGGCAAGCCAGCAGCTCCGGTGGGACAGCCTGGGATTTTCTTACAGGGTCTGAGAGCATCTCAGTGGACTGTGGTGTTTTCAAGCTGAGTTAGGGCGTTTTGGGCTGCCTGCAGAATCCGAGTGCTGAGAAAAAAGAAAAATCTCATGGAAAATATGTCCATCAAGCAGTGAAGTCACCAGAAGTGGTAATGGAGCCATGACGGGGATCCCAAACTACTGCCTTAATAACACATTAATACCCAGAGCGTAGCAGACAGTGAGAAAAGTGGTCTTCTCCTGTTGAAGCTCTGCCACTGGGGTGTGTGGTTTCTTCATACATTCATAACTGTACTGAGCAAGACCGCTGTCCTGATTTCCAAACACTGCTTAGGCTTGGCTCCTTGAAAGCCAATTCAATCACAGAATGGTTGGGGTTGGAGAGGACCTCTGGAGGTCCACCTCACCTTGTCCAAACGTCCCTGCTCAAGCAGGGCCACATAGAACTGGTTGCTCATGACTGTGTCCAGATGGCTTTTGAATATCTCCAAGGATGGAGACTCCACAACCTCCCTGGGAGACCTGTGCTTGGTCACCCTCACAGTGAAAAAGTGCTTCCTAATGTTCAGAGGGAACCTCTCACGCTTCATTTTGTGCCCATTGCCTCTGCTCCTGTCACTGGGCACCACTGAAAAGAGTCTGGCTCCTTCCTCTTTGCATCCTCCCTTCAGATATTTATATACCTTATTAAGATCCCCCTGAGCCTTCTCTTCTCCAGGCTGAACAGTCCCAGCTCTCCCAGCCTTTCCTCATAGGAGAGATGCTCCAGACCCTTCATCATCTTCATGGCCTTTTGTTGGACTCTCTCCAGTATGTCCACACCTCTCTCACACTGGGGAGCCCAGAACTGGACCTAGGACTCCAGGGGTGGCCTCACCAGTGCTGAGTAGAGGGGAAGGATCACCTCCCTCGACCTGCTGGAAACAATCCTCCCAGTGCAGCCCCGGACACCATTCATCCTCCTTGCTGCAAGGGCAATTGTTGGCTCATCCTCAACCTGGCACCCACCAGGACCCCAGGTCCTTTTCTGCCAAGCTTCTTTCCAGCTGGACGGTCCCCAGCACCTCCTGGTGCCTGGGGCCATTCCTCCCTAGGTGCAGGACTTTGCACTTCTCCTTGTTGAACTTCATGAGGTTCCCGTCAGCCCATTTCTCCAGCCTGTCAAGGTCTCTCTGGACAGCAGCACGACCCTCTGGTGTGTCACCCACTCCACCTAGTCTGGTGTCACCTGCAAACTTGCTGAGGGTACACTCTGCCCCATCACCCAGATCATTAATGAAGAGGTTAAGCAGGACTGGATCCAGCGTTGACCCCTGGGGTACACCGCTGGTTGCTGGCCTCCAACTGGACTTTGTCCAGTGATCACCACCCTCTGGGCCTGGCCATTCAGCCAGTTTTCAACCCACCTCACTGTCTGCTCATCCAGCCCACACTTCATCAAATTGTCTGGGAGGATCTTATGGGAGATGGTGTCAAAAGCCTTGCTGAGGTCCAGGGAGACAAAATCCACTGCTCTGCCCTCCAAGCCCACCTTGTGGCCCCTCCACAAGGGACTGGGACAGGGAAGCCCCTTCAGCTGGACCCAGCAGGCAGCCAGAGCAGCATCAGCACTTGCAAAGTCGAGTGAAATGGCACATTTGTTCCCCGCCATGAAATAAAACCCACCACTCCCTTCCTTACACCCCAAAATCAAAGACGGGTGCAGGCAGTCCCAGGATGCCAGCAAGGGAGGGGCGAGCAGAGGGACCCCACTTACCCCACCGTCTCATCCCAGTCACACCAGAGCCGCTGCCCGATGCCCTCCATGCTGAGCTGGAACTGCTTCAGGCAGTAGTGCCGGATCATCCAGCCGTAGTCCGCCTCCTGGCACGCCGTCGCCGCGATGAAGTGATGGGCTGGAAGACAGGCAAGGGGCAAGCGGGGTTAGGCTCTGCCGCAGCGGGTCGTGGCCCAACTAGAGCCCCTAGCCCCGCACCGCACGCTCCCCTCGCAGCCTTCCACGCAGAGGGCATCTGCCAAAGCAGAGCTGGACATCAAAGCAACCCCACTCTCAACCAGCTTCTTCAAAACCTCCTTCTCGGGACTGTGTTTCCCTCTTCACACCCCTCTGATCCCGTAGCAGCATCCTCTGTCACCCTCCCAAGCACCCAACGCAAGATAAATCAATTATTCAAAATATGCCAGGTAAGTCATAAATAAGTAAGGACGCAGATTTATTCTCTGCTGATCACTTGACATGTCTTTGGACTTTAAATTCCCAGGCTTTTGGCTTACAAAAAGAATAAGGGTGTGGGGGAATTTGGGGAATAACACCACGGCTCCTAGCCAGATCCATGCTGCTGCTGAGCAAAGGACCCCTTAAAAATTACCTGCACGGTGCCACGCTTGGAAACAAATATCCATCTCCAATGCAGCGCAGGGACAAGCGTGGTGAAATTCACCTCTGGCTGCACGGCGCTGATCTAATCCACCTCTGGGCATGCGTCCCTGCTGGACGGTGCCTTCTGGTTTGGGACCAGAGAGGAAGAGATGCTGCTTACTTCCCTACAAGTTTGTGCACAGTTAGTGCAGTGTTACTAGCGAGTGGAAAGGAAAAAAGGAATGCTACAAAGGGAAGAGGGAGCAGGCTTGAAGGAAAAAAAAAACCTTCGGAGGAATGATTTACTAAGCCTGGCTATAAATAACACCTTTCCCTTGGTCCCAAAGTGCCTGCTAGTGCCTTTGCAGCTCCTGGAGTACATTGCAGGCAGGCATCGCATACCAGCTCTATTTTTTGCTACGCGTGAATAACTCTGTGCAAAAGCATGGGGCTTTATTTTTATTTTTACCTTATTTTTTAACAAAACAGAGTTTAGCTACTTAGCGGTCTGCATATGAAAGCCACGGGACATGACCAGCAGCTCCTGCCAGGGGGATGCCCGCACTGAGCGGTCCCTCTGCAGCCCCCAAATCCTCGGAGCATTTATGTACCAGCACCCTATGGCAGTGGGTGGGAACTCAGGACCCACTGTGGGATTTGGGTGGTGAGGGGCCCCCCCGACCCTTGGGCGAGGTTTCTGGATGGCTGCAGGGCTCCCACGCTGCCTCCCACCACGGCAGATGCTTTGGTGCAGCTCAAGATGTGAGTTATCAAGCCAAGGGAAGGGAGTTAAGGAGCATTCAACTCTCACCATTGCAATAATAAAATTGAGTTTATGATAAGCTAAAGCCCTCCCCAACTGATACCACCCACAGGCTCACCCTTCAGCACCTGCGCAACACGACCTCAGCCAGAGACAAGCCCTGCTCTGGAATGGGAAGGTTTGGGATGCTGAAGCAACGTGCCAAGCGAGGAAGAGGAGGAGGAGCAGGAAGGAAGGTGCAATAATTTTACATGAGAGTTGGACTGCAAATCTCAGTCCAGGCAGGCTCAAGGACGATTGCTGGCTGGGAGGCTTTTCTCCCCCTCCCACCCCTTCAGATCTAGATTAATCAAGTGAATAAGTGACATGGCTGAGCGAGCACCAGCATCCAAGGGAGGTTCAGGTGCCACCCCAAGGGGTCCCCCCCTCAGTGAAGACCACATACCAGACTGCGAAGGACAAGCGCCCTGCAAACATCGTGCCCGTCACGTGGCCGGACAAACAGCTTGCAGAGAAAACGCCACCAGCAAAGGCATCAAGTGCGGAGCCAGACTGAGCAGCCTAAGGGGAGAAAGGAGAGCAGGGGAGGCGAACAGATCAGGGACATGGTTTAGTGGTGGGATGGCAGGGTTAGGTTAACAGTTGGACTTGATGATCTTAAAGGTCTTTTCCAACCTAAATGATTCTATCATTTCTATGAAGAAGTGGCCAGGCAAGCAGCCAAGGGGACTGAGGAGCAAAGGAGGAAATGGAGCCAGGCAGAAATGAGTGAGACACGCGAAGCACGGAGAGAAATTGAGGAAGACAAAGAAATTAAGAAATTCAACAGCGATACAGCACAAGAATAAAGAAAAGCAGAAGTTAACCGAGCATGGCCAGGCTGCCCTTCGCCTGGCTTCGCTCCTCCCCACTCCCGATTAGCACGGATGAACCTAGACCCAAGTCAGCATTTATACCACAAAACCAACGATCCTTAGAGATGGCCAAACACTTCCTGACGACCATGCAGCTGCTCCTGCAGAACAGACCTAGAGAAAAACACCTTAACAGGCAGCTTCACCTTGGGTGGAGAGAGGAGAAACACTAAATAAACCATGAGGATGAAGCAACTGAGAACTGCAAACTGGCTGCAACGTTTTCTCGAGCAGCTGCAAGCCACATATATCTGGTAGTCAGTGTATATCTGGTAGTCAGCATGAAAATGAGCCCTATTATTAAAAGAAAAAAAACAACCCAAAACAAGTGAAAACAAAAACCCAGGGAGCTTTAAGCACTTGCCAATCAAAGCAGCTCAAAAGATACTGCTGGCTTGGACATGGCCATGGGCTGAGAACAATCGTGGGCAGCCAGGAGCAAGCCAGCACATGGGCTTCATCATCCCCAAAAGCGTGACTCGTATGCTTGCTCTTGTTCCTGCCTCCTGTCTCAGTTCGAAGGTCCTTCGCAGGCACGGCACCACCTTTCTTTTCTCCTCAGCAGTTCTTCCCAATGTTCCCCAGGAGCTCTGCCTTCCCCATGAGGACTTGTCTTCTGCAGTGATGAACATTGCAGATGCTGACAGCAACAGGCTTGGCTTGGTACCTCCAAGGAGTGGTGCAGAGACTGTGGTCCTGGAAGACACGTCTCCCACCACGTCTCCCATACCTACACATGGAGTCTGTCTGCAAATCCTTTTCCCCAGGGGACTGGGGAGACCAGACCCATCAGCCAGCGACTGAGACGTTTCACAAGGACATTTGATTTTTAACATTGTGAAGGATTCTTTTGTTTTATGCATCAGAGGCAAAGAACATGCAAGAGGAGAAGGCTCAACAGAGCCCATTGTGTAAATGCTGCGAGGATGGAGCTGGGCACAGCGAGGCCAAAAAACTCTTTTGTTTTCAGCTGGCTGGGGGAGAATTGGCTTTAGCTTTAAATGCACATTTTAAGGTCAAAGTGAGGAGAAGCTCCTGACACGTTTCCACATGGTTCCCACCTAAACCCATGGGTATCTCCCTGCTGCTTCCCAGATTTCCCCCAAACCCACGTTTATCGACATGTCAGGCCGGGACGGGCTCAGAGTTTGTAACAACAGGGGAAGAAAAGCAGCGGGGGGGGGCAGATTTTTGTATCTCCTGGCTCTCATTCCAGAAGGTTTTCCTTCTCCCGTCAGCCCTGCTGACAGTGGCGGCGCGAAGTCAGCTGCAGTGAGCTGTAAATAACAGAGCTCCGGAGCGGTCACGTCTCTGTACTTAGCAGCATCCATTTGTGAAGGCTATAAGGAGCTGCTGAATAAATGAGCTCCAAAACCCAGCTATTACCGAGGCTGAGCTGCCTCCAAGAGCTCCCTTCTTGCATGCCCCTGGTGCTCCCACTCCCTTGAGAAAAATGGCATTGGGAGCTGCAGGAATCCAGTGGTCCCTTGGGAACATCCCAGCGGAGCCATGTGGTACCTCCAAAGCCCCACTTGGTCTTTAGGTGCTGCCTAGACACGGAGCTGGGGGTTATCTCCATCTTCCCATGTTCCCCCAGCCTGTGTATCCATACAGGTGATACCACTGCAAGCCGTCCAAAATTCATCCTTGCCTGTGTGCGCACTGCCTTCTGCATGCAAACACATCTTCCGCTGGAAAGCAGCACCATCCGATGTGGTGTTTACCTCGGTGCAAGGACCTGTGCGACTGTTGATGAACGCCCTTCCCTGCCGAGAGGAGCACTGATTGCCTGTTAAAAGAGGTAACTTTAAGGGTCCTTAATTTGCCTCCTCACAGGGAACATCCGGAGGGTGGTGGTGAGGAAGTGATTGGAGGGAAGGCTTTTTCAGGCATCCCAGGTCCTCTTGATTGCCCCGGGATTGATGTCCTGGAGAGTCCCAGCAAACATCTACCAGGATTCAGCTTACTGAGGGTTAGCTGCAAAAACCCCAAGTCACTCAAGTATTTCAGCAGAAAAACAGTTTGCTCACTCTGAATTGTTACAAAAGTTTTGGGAAAATAACTGGACTTTCTTCCGCTGCACTTCTTAGAGCTGGAGTCTGGGCCAAGAGCTCTGGGGTCACAGCTCCAGAAAACAACTTGGTGGACACCACCTCCTCCTCCTTCTCCTCCTGCCACCACTGCAGAGCCTGCACGCTTGCCATCGTGATGGTTCATCAGCCCTGAGCTTTCTCTGCAAGAGAAGTTCTGCATTTCACATCACAGTCCCCTCTGAGGAATTCTTTGGTCTCTGGCTATTTCTTTCTCAGTTTACTGGGACTTCCTGGGCTCATCTTGCTTGGACATGCAGCCAACCCCAGGGGAAGGCGGAGGCAGGGAGAACCGCGGAGCCTGAGAACAGATGAGCGTTTCAGGCTGACATGGCACAGGAGGCCAAAGCAATGATAGCGCAGACAGACCCAGTTCCCAGGCATCACGATGGAGCCTGCTGACATTTTGCAAGCCCTGCCACCACAGCCCTCTGCCATTCGACTTCTGGATGCTGCCCACGATGCCTGAGCACTGGGAATATATGGAGAGTTTGGGGCAGCAAGTGCCAAGTGAGGCAGTCTCATTTTTGGGGAGATCCCACCAAGGTGGACTCACATGCCATGTCCTTCTGGGCCATTGGCCATGTGGCTCCTGCAGATGAAGGCTCCTTGCCCAGTGCCTGGACTGTACCCCCCATTTGCAGTCTCATCCAAGAAGGAAGCCCTTGATGGAGGCTCTTATATAGGATGGGAAGTGGAGACACCCTAATTTGTGAACCCTTTCACTGGCACCCACTGGATGTTGTTGGAGGGGCTGCCAGACCGTCCCAGCACAGCTGTAGCTCACTGCTATTCAGCAAACGGGGGAGCTTGACTCCCCCAAGTCCATGACACCCCTTGATGGTGCTGGATGAGGGATGAAATGATTTGACTACGTGTGCAGATCAGTCACCAGACCATCCTGGCTATGGCTGGACCAGCAGGTTTTTTTTGGTGGAAACCATCCAGGGCTTCATAGAAACGAGCAGAAAATAGCCAGTCATTCATCTAAAAGCTTAAAGGTCTCATTAAACCCCAAAAGGTCGCAGATAACTGCAAGGTGACGCTCACAGCAGGGCTGGCAATGAACAAGCCACATGTAGCTAAACCCGAGCATCAGCAAAGCTCTGGGCTCGAAGAGCAAACATCCCGATAGCTTCTCCTGGGCTTCTCCTAAATGCTGTGACCCTTCCTGTGAAATGATTCACTCTCTCAACAAGCCCGAGATGAAACCAGTCTGTTTTCCCCTTCTTTTCGGTGAGGTTGTATGCTCTGCTTTATTGAGAACAAGCCTCGTGGTTTGGACCCAGCTGCAAAATAAAGCCCAAGAAGAGCTGGAAATCTGGAGCTCATTTGCTGAGTGTGCTTTGAGCCCCAACTTTGCCATGTCCCCATCCAGCAGGATGAATCCTGCCCTGGCAGGTACGAACCTGTGAGATCAAACCAGGTAAAGCCCAGCCGGACAGACGTGCTACACGCTGCCAAGCCAGGTACTCACCCGCTAGGAACGATGCTGGGAAGGAGAAGGTTCGCTTGTGGCTAAACCCAAACCTGATTTTGTCCCACTCTCTCGTGGCCAACATCCCCCAACCACCTTGGACTCACAGCCGCCCCTGCTGGGCCACTCACCCTGGTGACAAAAACCTCCAAGGGGGGATCACAGTCCCATGTCCCTGCTGGAGGTACCACACGGCTCCAGGAGAGCAGGTTTTGAGTGGGGGCGTTTTGCAGGCACAGCCCTGGGAAGCCTTGAAAGCTGCTCTGTGCGCAGGGAAGCACACGCTCATTAGTCTCAGGCTGCCTCATTTTGCTTTTCAACCCTTCCCTTTGTGTTGGGACCCACATTTACAAACAGACCAGCTGAGCCGATCCTCACCAAGTGCATTTCTCAGCAACTTCGCTTTCACTCAGCAGAGCCACCATGTCTGCTGCTAATTAGTAATTCAATATATTAAGCTCCAGTTTTCATCCTAAGCCCAGTTAAACATCTGGTACCCCACCAACGGGGCTTGGGCACCCTTGGGAGCATCCCCAGTCTGTGTCGGAGTCACTTCCCGGCATCCCAGCGCTCTGCCCAGATTGAAGCACGAAGCTGAGGGAAGGATCAGACCCAGCCCAAAACATCTCATCCAAAATACTCACGGGAGGGTGGGGAGAGCACATGGGGGCAGAAGGCAGAAGATGAACGTGAAAAACTTCCCGGTTTGCAGCTAAAAAATGGAAAAAATGGGAAGGGTTTTGCTTTGTTGACTCAAAGCCAACAAACCAGCCCCACTGGAGGCAGCAGATGGTTTTGAGGGGGACAGAGCAAGTGCTCGCTGGACTAAAAATAAACCCCCTGCTCCCAGCAGCGCTCGCACGTAAAGGGCTGGGCTCCGGCTGGCGCCTGCAAACTGCCAGCACGGGAACTGGCGGCGGCGCTGCAAACCTGCCCCAGGGACCCGCCCGTACCCATCCACACCATCTCCAAAGCCTGGCTTTGCGCTCCCCAGACAGAGCCAGATTGGGTGCGGGGGGCATTTCCAGCCTGCCACCTTGTACGTAGCCTCTGGCCCCCCCATGGTGTTATCAGAAAGTCAGATGTTTTCTCCAAAAAAGCAGGCTGAGTCCCAACAGAGGTACAAGCCCAGTGCTGGGGACCAACCTCCTCTGCAGCCCGCCCATCTGAGCAACACCTTCTGCACCAGGCTCCGAAGCCCCACCATGGCCTAATAGGGCTTAAAAACCAAACCTCTGTGTAACCTAGAAGGAAGCTCAGGTCTTGCGCAAGAAATCTCATGCTGAGAAACATGAGAGAGAGGGAAGTCACCCACACCAGCTGGGGAGGAGCAGGAAGAAAGGCACAGCTGCCCCTTCCAGCATCCACAGCCCTGTAACCCTCAGGAAGGGTCTGGCACCCCCTGCTTAAAAATATACCTCCCGCCAGGGCTGCTTTGGGCAGCTGCCAGCTCAGCAAAGGCTTCAGAGCTTGCAACCACTCCCTTGGTTCACCAGGAAAAAACGAAGGTGGCACTTAGCAAACATGTAACCCATTTGGCTGGAGCTGGGCGGGCAGAAAAATGTAGGTGTTGGTGCTGGGGAACAACAGGGTATCTGGCTCAACACTAGTTATTCCTCTACCAGAAAGGAGGGAGCCACCCGCTAACACCTCTGCTTGCTGACAGCCCGGGACGCGCCCCCGCAGTCAAACGAAACCTCCGAGCCCTGGCGGAGGATGCTATTTCTGTCCCCATTTTGCACAGGGAATGTATTTTTAAAGCCTCTCCTCCCTGCCTGGCTGGGTCAGGCCCCAAGCTGCTGGGATCAGGCAGCGGCTCCTGGGGCTGCCACGGCCATGAAAGTGGCTTGGGAAGAGCAAGATGGATGGAAGCACCCAAACTCTGCAAGCGATCATGAGGAAGACAGAGACCCATCCCTTCCTCAAGCAGCCTGCCTGAGCCCCACCATTGGCACACGATCATCCCATCCCCATCCCCATCCCCAACCCTTCCCATGAGGGCTGAGCCCAGCTTCTACCCAGGCAGCTCCTTTCTTCCAAGCTTGGCAATATTTCATCTCCAGCACCTTTCCCTCTTGGTACCAGCCCACTGCAGGGAATGTCTGTGGACCTCAGAAATACACGGAGGTGTTCGAAGTCCTGGCAAAGATGCTCCTATTTCCTGATAGCCGCAGGGATGCAGGTGCTTGGCAGGTGGCAGGAAAGCCCACAGGAAGAGCCTGTCCCCTCCACCAGCAACCCACAGGCACACAGCTAGATCCAGGCTCAGGGATATCAGGACAAGGAAGGACTCAATGGCCACCCAAAGCAGTCACTCACCCTCTTCTTTAAGGGGAGAAGGGCATTTCTCATCCCGGCAGCATTAATTCAGAGCTGCTCTGTCCCAAACCTGCTCCCTGATGCTTCTGGAGTATCTCCAGGTCCCAAAATCAGGCAGCCTCTGCCTCCCCTACCTGCTGCATGCTTGTTCGCTTGGCGTGTTGTGACACTGTCCCTTAGTCCGCAGGATCTTCCTTCCCAATGTAGTAATTCGGGATGTAAATTAAGAGGGAATTCATGGGATGTGGGGGTTTTCATGTGCTGAAAGGGCGGGGGATTTTTCAACATGCAGCTGAGTCACTGGACAGCAAGGATTTCAGGGGCAGAGCAGATGCTGGGAGGTGGGGGGAACATCAGCCGATCTCCCAGCACCTGGGAAGGCTGATCCCAGGGTGTCCTGGACATGCTGCCACCGCTCACTTTGGAGAAGAGAAGGAGCATCCCCCCTGTCCCTGCCTCCCCTCTGCCCCGGGGGGGCTGCAGATGGAGCAGCAAACTGCCCAGAACAAAGCGGTCTGTAAGCACGGCATGGACGCGGTTACAAAGCATGGCCAGCGCTCCCCAGCGAGGCGCACACATGGAGGGCTCACCCCATATTTTGCCTGTCTGGCAGCTTCATTACCATGAAGCCACAAAAGCTTTCAAAGGAATCAAGGGCTTGGGAAACTTGGATGGGAGAGAAGTCACTCAGGCTGGGAGGGGGAAATAAGCCTCACAGCAGGGGAAAAAAATGTTAAATGAAAAGAGACAGGTCTAGGAAAGCTCAATTTTAGGAAAACAGATATTCTCCTGAAAAACACGCATGTGGTTGTGGCTTTGCTCACAGTCCCAGGGCAGGGCATCGCCATGGGCCTCCCCCCCAGCTCCCCAGGTCTGTGCACTGCACCTCCCTCCATCCGGGCTTGCTCAGGGAACAGCCTCCCCCAACCCTGAATAAACGCTTGCCAGCTAACTCCATCAGCTCCCAGTAAAAAAAGAGACCGCTGTGGCGGGAGGTGCCATGGCGTAAGTGCCGTGCCATGGGCGTAAGCTGCGGTGAGGGTTGGTTTAAAACCTTGCTGGCGTGGGGAAGAGCAGGTACCTGAATGCAGAATTGGTAGAGAAAGTCAGTCCCTGCTCGGCCAGGCTGGGGAGGGTCCCCTGTTAGGGACCTGGCCACGTGGAAAGCTCGGGCGGCACATGCCCCCCAAAGAGGCCAAAGGCTTCCACATCTTCATGACCGAAGTACAACACGGGGCGGGTCTGAAGAGCGTGCTGCGGTCCTGCCAGCACCACCCCACTGCTGCTTCCAGCGTGGCCCGGATGAGTGTGCGAGCGGAGCCCATGCGAGGGCTGCAGCTTGCAAAACCCAGGCTGGATGCTCCAGAAACACTTCTGGGGATAAACATCACCGGGCATGAAGACTTACTTATGGTAAAAGGCAGTAAGAGGAGAATGTCAAACGGAAACAAGCAGATCACAAATAAGCATCGGCTCCATTCCAGCTGCACACTGGCAGCCGGAGGCGGCTCTCGGCGCAAACGTCAGCCCAGCAACGGCAGCAGCCCCATACCGGCACGCTGTGCTTCCCAGTCCCCTCCTCGTACTGGCAAATGGGGCATGCAGCACCAAAGTGCTACCGTTTCTGCCCAGGACTACATCCCTACCTGTTTTCTTGGCAGCCCGATAATCGTTTGATAAACGCACCATCTACGGCTCGCTCTGAAGCAACACCGGGCACCACGCTTTTACCAAAGCACATTGCACCACAGCGCAACGAGAGGCGAGCGGAGCAGCTCCGGTCCCCACTGGCTGGGGGCCGCACCCCCCCCCC